ATTATATATATATATATATGGTTTTATTTATTTTGAATAAATCATAATTCTTGGATGACCCACTTTTTGCACCACTTCTATGTGTTCAAGGTTTGTTTAAGAAACGTGTGAAAATGACGCCGACCAATTTTACTCCACGGTGTTCTATTTTATTAACTGGAAATTCCTTATTGATTTTTTTTTTAATAATTAGTGGGAAACAGGACTGTAAACGAATCGAGTTGAGCTCGTTAAATAAACGATCCTGAAATTGAACTCGAGTTCGGCTCGTTTAACACTCATAACGAGCCGATCTCGAGTTTTAACGAGTCAAACGAACCTTATCGAGTCAAGCTTAGCTCGGCTCGTTAACAATCGAGTTTTAAATGAGCTCGAGCTCGGCTCGTTTAATTTAGCAGCACTAGTGAGAAATAATTCTTTTATTATCAATTTGTGCGGGTCGATTTATCATATTTTATTTATATTTTTTTATAGTATAACATTTTAATTTAAAAATATAAAAATTTGTTGAAAAAAGATGAATATGTAATTGTAACAGATAGTTTAATTAATGTAGATGTTTATCTATGCTTAATTAATATGAGTGAATTTTACAACTATGAATAGTGGATGTCAAAGACAAAGATCACGCAAAGATTACTTACATTTTGATCAATTATTAAAAATAGAGAGTATGAGATAAAGAATAATAACATGGGCTTAGTAGGTTACAAATTGAACTTGTTCTTCCAACATGCTTCTTGGCAGTTATTTCAATTAATTTTCATATTATTCAAGATCGTGGTTTTGTTGGTTTTGTTGATAATCCTCCCTATATATTAATTCAAATGTGTTGAGTCTAAATGACAGACTCACACGTTTCGGATGCTGACATGACAAAAATTTATGTTTCGGAATATTGTTTGTATGTTATTTTTTTTGCTTTGTAATTAAGGAGCTTGGGATTCATTTTCAAAAATCAACCTATTTCTCGCATTCCAAATTCAGTACACGGTAGCCGCTAGCGCCGCTTTCTTCAACTTGGTTTGCCAACTAGCCCCTGGTGTCTCCTTCTTGGTCCATTTAAGAGCTCCTTGGCTTGGTATAGACATAAATAACTTTTTCTCAAACTTGGTAAGTGTACATTTAATTTTGTTATTTTTTTTTTTTTCTCTTAGTACCAATTTACTTCTTATTTTGGACAAATAACAATCTTACTATCTTATAATTTTTTCATATATTTTTATCTTAAATTACGATTTTAAATTTTTTCAAATTACTTTCTGCATTATCTGTTCCTTTTTTTCTATTAATTAGTCCATCAAGACTTTTAAATAAAATTTTTATTTAGCAATAACTTTTATAATATATATTTTAATTCAACAGCCGTGTACTACATTTTTTATGAGTAAGTATTGATTTAGAAGTGGTCCAGACAAAATCTACATTTAGCAAAGCATATGGGTGGTAAAAAATAGATAACTTACTCATAAAAATCATAGTAAAAATGGTGAATCGAAATCATAGTAAAAATGGTGTATTATCGATTCGGTGTTTGAAAGAGAAAATTTTATCAATTCATAACATGAAATTTTTATTTATTTATTTTTGGTAGCCAACAATTGTATCTGGATCTATGCCCCGACTAATTCGTTGGTCGACTTGGGTCGCACACCTAGCAGTGGTGGGCGAGTCTTCCAACAATGGTTTTTTTACATCCACAAAAACTCGAACCCGAAACCTTGCTTAACCGACATTAGTGAAAATAACATAAATATTTAAGTTAAGAAAATGAGAAACACGCAATCATATATAATATAAATATATTTATCGAGTGTGGTAAAATAATTTCTTTAATTATATTTAAAATAACAATTTCAGTATGTAAAAGAGCGGAAAAAATTCCATCTTAATTTTGAATGTCTTCCAATTTTAGTATGCAACTAAAGAAACTACATGTTATTGTTTTTTTTTTAACGCATTTAATGATTAAGTTTGGATGAGATGGCTTGGGTCTCTTCCAGTTTAACCAGTGGTCTCGAGTTCGAGCCCTGGAAATGCAGCAGTGTTAAAACTCTTGAGGGAGAGCTTTGCCGCCCTTGTGGTCATGTGGTCTATGGTGTTTGGTGGGTCATCTTCGGTCGATCTACCGATGTAACCGAAGTGGATCATCTGTCCGAAGTGTAGACTGTATGCCGAGGTGAAGACACTTGGTAAAATTTGAGTAACTTGCGGGCAGCTTGGGCAGGAAAAAGACAAACAGTCGTAACGGTCAATTTAATGTGAGTGAATGGTTGCGCCGTAATGACCTTAAATGAGGTAACAGTCGACTTTAATAGGACGCCACGTGTATTTGTAGGTGCCTGTTAGGCGAAGAGGTGGCGTCGATTGGAATTAGGGGTCGCGTCGGTTAGACGCGCCCCTAATTAAAGTCTCTAACGGTCGTGAATCGGAAATTATAAATAGG